GGGGGGGTGAGTTTTCTTTTCTTTTCTTTTTTTTTCGTGTTTGTGCGTACGCTTGTGTATTTGTGTAGATTGTATACACCAATGCATATTTATATATACAAGAAAAAATATATTTATCACATATCCTTGCGAAGATTCACACGAATTAAGATACAATCGCTGCAAATCGATATATAAATGCTCTTTTTACTTTATTCAACATATTTCAGCCTCGCTGGCATGTCGTATTATTCCTTGTTCTCATCTTTTAAATAGTACAGACGTACCTTATCACACGGAAAAAGAACTCCTACTCCTAAACTTCGCTATCATATTAATTAAAACAAAAAAATATATGTATATATATATATGTATATATATAACACATACTTATATTAAAACTATCACTTGAAGTATAGAAGCTATCCTCTTTCAATTGTACTGATCTACAAAACTTTTTGTTCTCTAAGTAAAATGTATATATTGACGTGTATATACTGAAAACTTCGAGTAAAAGTAACGTAGCTCACGAGTCATTTAGATAGCATTCTTTTTTTTTGCTTTGGAAAATTGGTTGATGATGTGAACGTATTTTTAAGGAAACAGTCTTCTTAAACCTCAGTAAATCCTTATTTTACTTTATTTATTTAAATACGTGATTATTATTATTATTATTTATGCTTGTACAAAAAATTTAAACGTGTATATAGAGTAAAAAGCAATATTAGTCATGTTTTTTCTTCTTTTCTTTTCTTTTCTTCTTTTCTTCTTTTTTTTTCTTTTTTCTTCTTTTTTTTTCTTTTTTTTTTTTACTGGAAAGCATAAATAATCTATTTTGGCTTAATCGAAGATTCTTTCTCAATTGCTCAATTATAAAGTTAACTAAGAAAAAACTAGGTAGTTATGCATTTAATAAACATAATCAACTGTTAAAGATTTTTTTAAAGATTTATATTTTCATGAAATGAAAGCAATAAAATAAATATAAAAATATAATCTTTATAATTCCGATTAAAAGTGATGAATCGATTTAACTTTGATAAAATAGAGGATTTTAGTTTACCGTAATGTTTCTAGGAATTAATCGTTCTGACCGAATATACTTGACAAACACTGCACAATTGCCAATCGAGTCGTTCGATATAATAAAAATAATTTCAAAAATTATCAAAATTATTTTCATTACAATACAAATAATTTAGCTTAATAAAATGGTATTGTTGTTCATGTACAATGATCACTATTCATCTACAAGCAAACAAATCCGTAGATAAACTTAAAGTAAATTTTTTTTTCAATTTGTATAAATAACAAATTATCGTATAGATTATTCAATGTATAATTTAATAATGACTTGCTGTAGATCAATGCTACTGCACATGTAATGTATAAGCAAAAGAATCCTAGAAACTTTACGAAAGAGCGTAGATCAATCACTTATTTTACATTATCCTACTTGCATTATTAATATAAAAAAAAAATTATAATTTTTACAGTGTCATTAACCGAATGAACATTTTTTCTCCTGTCATTATAGTTTAAGAATATATATTAAAACTTAAAATAAGAGTTCAAAAATTTTCAAAAAGAGATCTGCGCACCCGATGCGTACAAATAAACGAGATAAAAATGAAAAGCTAAAGAACGTTAAATGATCTATGCATTGTTGTAAGTTCGCGCGATATGAAATAAAAGATCGAAATCGTTTTAATAAATCTAAATAAATATTTATTCAAATATTGTTAACTTCATAATAAAATTAAAATTGTGAATATGTATTATTTCAAAAAATATTCCGTTCAAATTAAATAAATATTTGTTTGTGCTCTCACATTATAAAAATTACTCATTTTAAAGATGTAAATACGCTTGGCATTTCGAAGAAGAAAAAAAACGCATACTCAAATTCAATGTATTTTCGTTTCCATCGTAATAAATGTACGCGATGTATATGCACACACTTCCATGCATCCACATATTCGCCGTCGCCCATGCACGCCCATACATACATGTATATGTATACACATTCACTCGTAAATCCAAACGCTCAGCTGTACTCGCATGCATACGCACATACACATATACATATACATATTTTTATTAGTTCCTCTTTTAATGTGACTATATAAACTCTGTAATTCCTTACTTTAGTTCTATCTACAAAAGTAAATTTTCATCAGCACTTGATGTGTGATCCGCTTTACTTTAATGTAAAAGCGAGGCTCACTTGCTAAATCGCTTAATGCGCGACCTCGTTGTAAATGATCTCGAACTCAGATTAAACGGTGTCTTTGCCCTTTTAGATATAGAACTCGACGAGGTGGACGAGCCCGAGGTGATACAAGAAGCGGAGCTACCACCAACAATAGGCGAAACTTTACAGCCTGGCTTCGTTCTACTGGGTGTCGCCGTTGACGATGATGTTGGCGTACAACCGGCTAATTTTACTTTTGTCACGACTGTAACAAATTAAACATTGGCCATTATAAATTGAAAATGGAATTAACACTTAAAATAGAAAAATGCACTTGCTGTTCAAAAACCAATAGATACAAAATTTAATTACTGCATATCAAATTTATTTGACCAAGTACCAAATTACTTGATATTCAAACAAGTTCATCGCACATAACGTGACTGATTATTTTCATAAAAAAAAAAGAAAGAAAGAAAGAAAAAAAAGTTTTATAATAAAGAGAAATGAAGGCAAATTAACGTATACTCATTAATGACACCACCAGTTTTTAGATATAATTCTAATATATAAATTCCTCATGAATCCCATAAGTTCGAAAATTTTGTATCTATTCTTTATTATTATAATATAATTGAGAGAGAGAAAAAAAGAATATAAGAAGTCTAAAAAGTATTTTAATACGTATTTAGGATATTTAATCACTTTTTAAACAAATCACTCGATTTAACGTCCTAATGAATATCACGATTTCATAAAATCATCTTAAAATGAGTACGTGATCGGGAACGAAGCAAACCTGATGTTTGGGGAGTGGAGGAATTCGCCAAAATGCCTACAGCGGATGACTGCTGCTTTAGTTTCGCTTGAGATTCCAATATCCTACTAGACTTGACAGTACCATATTGATGGGCTAGTTGGGCCGGAACCGTTTGACCTCCAATGTCCACGTTCCTCGACCTAAGATTCTTAATCGGTGTCGCCGCTATCGTATCAGATCTGAGCCAGCGCTTTGGCACCACTGTCGGTGAAGATGATGAGGAGCTCACAGAATCGGCGATGGAACTGATAAGGTCAACAACGGTCTGACGGCGACTGCCGGAACAAGAACCCCCAGTGCGACTCCCGCGTCCCTGATCCCAGAAACTCTCACGTATTTGAATACGATTTGCGGACCTGTTGATCGACGGCCTCCTGATCTTCTTTACTGGAGTTACCTTCTTCTCGAGGTTACGTCGCTTAAAGGAATTCGGGGAGGAAAGCCGCCTTTCCTGAATGCTACCCGTACTCGAGTTTAACACTCCATCTGCAGACAAGAAATAATTAAATAAGAATCATATTTACTACAAATTTAATTTTATTCTTAAATTAAATTCTTTTCTTTAAACAAATCCTTATGGTACCATTACGATATAACGAAAAATTAACCAAATAATTGAAATATTTTTAAACTCTATTTTAATTCAAATCTATTATTAAATTGTCTATTTATTAGCTTATAATAATAGATATATCTTATTTAAATTACGATGAACACCGATATATTTAGAAGATATTAATGCATATAAAATATATTTATATGCAATAGTTAATATGTTAAATATAAGAAATATTTAACATATTTTGTTCATATTTATTCTAACGTTTAAGCTCCATGCTATTTGCATATAAAATACTGAAAATTCTTATATATACTTACAAATAATAATTAAATATATGATTTTAAAATATAATAAAAAGATAACCATTTAATTCATCAACTGATAAAAGCAAACTTAACAACTCACTTGTTCTTGAAATTGCCGTATCGGCAACGTGCCATCGTAATCTATTATGTTGTACTTCGATCTTCTGATTCGGCGGTGCTCCGGTACTATGACGCCTCCTACTATTCGTTTGACGTATAACATTACTGTAGCTCGAGGAATTGGTAATTCGCTTTGTCAAGACAGTACTATTGTTACTACTACAGTTACTGTTACTGATATTATTACAGTTGTTATTGTTATTATTACTATTGTTCTTGCTTACGTTCTTATCACCGTTATTACTACTGCTGTTGTTAGTGCTGTTGTTCTCATGACCACTTCGCCTAATGGATAAAACAAACTTTACATTAATTAAAAATATTGTAACTACGTTACACTTGTGAACAATAATGATGTTTTCGAATTACAAAACTATTACATATTAGCAATTACACTGTAAAATTGGTATATACACAGATGCAGTCATATTGAAATTTAAAAGGTAATCAATTAATGAAAAAATCTAAGACTACAATAGTATTTGAATAATGTACCTAAGTCGTGGTCCTTGAGGCTCACTGAATCTAATTGGCTGAAGATCTACGCTATTGATAGCGTCGGTGTACTTCTCAGCCTCGGGTACTTGTTGCAACCAGCTGTCCGTATCAAGCACAAAATTGGTGGTATCGGTTAATATCGCTGCGGAATCGGATTCTTCTCTCATCGAGACCTCCTCTGTACAAAGACTGCTCTCCACAAGACTCATCTCCGAGACGACCATTGAAACGTCGCTCGATTCCTCGACCGTATGCTTGACACAGGCATCACTGGAGGATATTTCAGCCACCTGGATGCTCTCTTCTGTAGAGGGAACATCATCGAGACTATGGGTAGGTTTTGACTCATCCTTGACTGAAGAAGTAGCTATTTTGCTACTGTTGCTACTGCTGCTGCTGCTGCCGTGGCTGCTGCTATTGTAGTTGTTTTGGTTGTTACTATTGTTGGTGCTACTGCTGTCATTGCTGTTAGTGCTGCTAGTACTGCTCGTACTATTGGTACTGTTGGTATTGCTGGTACTGCTAGTGCTACCGCTACTGCTAGTGCTGCTGCTACTGCTGCTACTAGTAGTACTGCTGCTACTGCTACTGCTACTGCTACTGCTGCTGCTACTGCTGCTGCTGCTGCCACTGCTACTGCTGCTGCTACTACTACTCTGGGAAACCGAAGGACTACTAGCGAAGCTTTCGTCCATGCAGTGATCCGATGAGTCCGGTTGCTTTTGGATATCTGAATAACTTGGAAGCTCGGAGCCTGTGAGAGTTGGAGGATAAGGATAGGGCTCGGACTCGGATAGAGATTTATGCATAGGTAAAGGATAGGGGCAGTGGACGCTCTCACTGGGCAAGACATGTGTTTCCGAGCTGACAAGTTCTGGCTCAGGTGCTGGTTGATTAGCCACCATCTGCTCACGCTTCTGACCAAGAAGTATCTGAATATAGGAGGCAATCCTTTCATTAATTTGCGGACCAACATTTTTAATTCGCAGAAAATTTTGTACAGTCATGTTTAATTGCTAAACTTCATAATCTTTTACCTTGGTAATATATTCCTTATAAGATTCTTCCATTATCAACCAATTTAACTTGATTTAAAACGTTTTTTAATTATTAATGTTTCATTTAGCCCTTAAGTTCTTAGTTAACTAACTTCTTTTTAAACTTTAACTTATAATTTAAAACATTTGAACGAATAAAAGATTCGTTTTAATGAAAAAATACTTGCAAATTTTATTTACTAGTACAATGTTTTTCAAAATTATCTTTACTTAATATTGAAGATATCTAAACAATAAATTAATAGAACAAACCTCGCTATGTGTAGGTCCAGGGGGATCGAGCATTAAAGTGACAACACTGATATTATCCGCTCTTAGCCTCATAGATGACCACTTCTCAAGTGCATGATCGACTAATCTCTTTGATGGATTAATCCACATTTGGACATCTCCATGCTACAACATTCATATTTTATGTATCGATACAAATTAAATTCTTATCTGCTATTATAAATGCATTTAAATTATTAATATCACATAAATTTGATTTTATACATGCCGTATGTATTATTTACAAAATAATAGAAAACTAGTTTAGGAATATATGAACAAGCTTTTAACAAGATATTAATTCAAAATAACATTCAAATTCAAGATAATTTATAATTGATAAATTATATCAATGACAAATTTATATTACTTAATAATTAAAAAATGTTTTACAAATTCATATAAATATGAATATACATATTCATATAAAAATACATAATACCATTAAGCTGAACAATAGCACAGACATAATATATGCAAAACAAATAAAGAAAAGATCTTAAAAATATTGTAATATTTTTTGTTAACAAAATGTTTAAACCGAATGTACATTAACAACTGTTTTCAATTTATCGATAAATTTTATCCATAAATTATGACGATTATAAATCAACAAACATAATTAATAACTTTGTAAATTAATCAATACATATCCAAAACAATTTAACAAATTATTCTAATTAAAAAGTACTTACAAAACTTTTGTTAGCCAATAAAATAATATATAATTATAGGTAAAATTAATAAAAACTAATGACAAAATTAAAATAACTTTAAATAACAAAAATTCATGCCACTCAAGAAATAAAATGTAAAGCTATTTAAAAAGTGTTTTTTATGATATTTTTATTCTATCTTTAAAAGAATCCTATTTAAAAAAATCCTATGTATTCAATCCAAATAAGTTTCATTTTAAAAATTAATAAACAATATATAAAAAAAATTAAAAGAATAATTTAATTCAAATATATCAATTAAAATAATTATACAATAACTGAATCGTGTACGCAAGTAACATAAAAAAAAGTTTTATTTATACAAGCTTTTAGAAAATATATTTGAAGCAGAACTAATAAATACATAGAATTTTTCAATTTATTGATTTTTTTTTTTTTTTTAAGTATATATTGTATGACATTAAATTATACAAAAATTAATAATTAATAATAAACATTATAAAACATAATAATTTTCTAAACATACCCCACTTCCAGTTTGTTGCGAAGCAATTAGATGTTTCTCATTATTACTTTCGACAGCCTGTACTACCGTTACTGCAGCTTGTGGAGTTAACATATTCCATAAGCCATCAGTTCCGAAAATAAGACATCTATGTGACTTTACATCAATTTTTACAACTTTTACATCTGGTTCTGGTGAAACAACAAACGTATTCAATTCTGAATTGTAACTCCACAAATCACCTATGAAAATTTTTAAATACAGTTATTATAAAATATGAGTATTAATAAAAAAAAAACATTTAAGTATGATTTACCTAATGACCTAGCAACTGCTAAAAATGGTATTTCATCAATATGTGTTGATCTGCGTACTGGTCCTTTATGGCCAAGTCTAGGCCTATTCCAAACAACCCTGGGAACGCCAGATTTACTTATAACTTTTCCACCAGACTCCTGTATTCTTGTCATTTCAACTCCACACTCAGGCTTATGATCTTTAGTTAATGCCTTCGATTTCCAAAACAGATCTTTTTCTTTGTAACCCAATACAATACCAGAGTCACCTACATGTCCAATATAAATTTTTCCTTTTCGAATAAACGCAATACTAGCAGTTGTTCCAGCTGTTGATGGTAAACCAGATGCTGTTCTAGGCCATTTATCTATATAAAAAGGTAATTTGAATTATTTAAATACATTAAAATACGAAGGTAAGACTTTTCTATCTCTTTACAATTAGATAAATTGCATTTATTGTTAATTTCTCATTATATTTGTATTATAATGGTAAAAAATTATAATGATAAAAAATGTATTATAATGGTATATTTGAATATAATTCATTGATTTAATTTAATTTAATTCTGTTTAATAAAATAAGATACTTTTTCTATAAATATCATAAATAAAATATACTTTAAATGTTATGAGTTATAATTCATCAAAATCTATTTTAATAACATTAGGTATTTAAAATTTTGTTCCAATAGTAAGTATGTATGGACAGTTATGTAATATGCTAATAAATAGAGCAAAAAATATATTAAATTTGCATGATAAAATATATACACATTATTAATTTACTTATTTTTTAACAAAATTTTGAATTAATTTTAATTTACACAATTTATTATATATATTACTTTACATGCGCGCGTGCACACACACATGTACATACATATATATATATATATATATATATATATGTTTATATATATATATATATATATGTTTATATACTGTTATTAGTATAAATTAAAAATAATTCTTTATTAGTTATTCTGTACTTGCAACTATATATATATATATATACGACCATTACATAAGCAAATTTCAAGGTTTTACAAAATCTAAAGTAATTTTGTAATAAATTATTGTGGTAGAAATAACAATATTCGTATTAACATAACGTAAATATTATTAATTAACTAATAATTTACAATAATTGCTTATAATAATATGCTGGAAATGCATTGAAAAGGAGCCTATAAAAATAAATATCAATAAATAAAAATAGGCCGAATTTAAAAAGAAAAAAAAACAAAAAACAAAAACAAAATTAAAAATTTCCCGCGTACAAAACGCCAATACGCTTGTGGCTCTTTCGGCCATATCGCGCATTACATAACCTAAATATTCCTAACCTCGGCCTTTCTCTCGCTCTCTGCTCTGCGCTTCCTGTGCTCTCTCACTTCTTCGAAACGAAGACGAACTTATGCACCTAGCACATTACCCAGACAAAGAGACACGCAAATATACATCTCTGCATGTACACGAATCATCATACACCCTGGTGGGGATAGAAAATACGCGGGACGAATCTGTTTTCTCAACCCACGCAGCCCTTTCGCTTCGAATCGACAATAACAATAACAATCGGTGGTAATTTAAAAGACAAACTGGGAACGGAAATACGATATTTTAGCGTCCTTACCGAGTTCTCGCCACATCGCGTAATGCGTGTTGACGTATCCATCGCGAATGGCTTTGAGCACGTCCTCATCGTTGTCACTCCAGAAGTTCTTCTGCTTGACAATTATATCCATGAGGTTCTCCTTGGCGAAGGTCGCAGCCTCGCCGCCTCCATGACCGTCAAATATACCAAAAAAAGCATACTCGAGCTCGCGGTCGTTGGAAGACTGCTGATAGGCAACACTGAACATGTCCTCCATGTACTTGCGGCCACCCTGATTACAGTGGCCCGTCACCCTCAGGTTAACGCCAATACTAAGCGACATTTTTCCTGGTAAAGTCGTTATGTGCTGGCCCAATGTATTTCTAACCTCAAAAAAAAAAAAAAAAAAGAAAACTCGCCTTTAACCGCGCACCCGTCCGATCTTCACCTTCCCTCCCTCTCGCTCGCTCACGAGTTTCAACGGTGCGTATGCATATGCCTCTCTCGCATTTGTACACAGAGAGAGAGAGAAAAAAATCCCGATATTCAATCAACCACGGCACTTATCTATCATCGAGGGAGCGCGCCACTGCTCCTTCTAGTTTCAAGCACGCGACCTCTTCGTTTTCTTCCTCTCCTTTGGATTTTTTCTCCCGTCGCACTTGCGTACACCAGTACCCCGACGCACACGAGCGCAATCACACACATGAACACACGGCCACACCAACACGTGCCGTACCACACGCCTCCGATGGAAGCCTCGCGTTTACTGAACGTGTGATTGTAACATTGTGTGCTGCTACTCGACTACTCGCTCTCTCGCTCGCACGCTCATAAGTATGCGCGCGCACATCTCATCATCCGAGTGGGGATGGTTAACGATGAAACGCGCGTTGGCGAGATACAGTGCGTCCGTGCGCGCGTGTGCGTTAAATGCGTGTGCATGCGCGCGACATTGGAGGAGGAAACATGGCGCCAGAGTAAGATGAGAGAGAGAGAGAGAGAGAGGGCGAACGAAAGGGGCAAATGGATAATGCTATAAGAGAAAAGAGACACCATGAGAGATTGTTCTTTCGTTATAACTTTCAGCGGCGACTGTTTAAACTTTCCATTGATTGTGACACTCGATTTATTGACTTACAAAGGATTTAACGTGAACGCTCGGGGTTGAAGAAAATAATGCCCGACTACTGATAATTGGCATATTTTAAAATTGTTCACACACCGACAGTTTCGGAAAGATTTAATTTTCGAATATCGAGGCGATGTAAGGCATTTGAGCGCCAGCTCAAAACAGGATGGAGGGAGTAAAGATAACGAGAGTGGGAGTAATGCAAGTGCAACGAAGACGGAGAGAGTAAGGAGGTCAGTTGTATGCATATTCCTATACAACTCATAGTATCGTCTGCGGGTGTTTCTACATCAATGGGTGCAGCATCTGAGCAGGAGGAAAACTTTTAAATTAAAAGCCGATACGATATTATACTAGTCATCATTTCGTGAACTGCAACTTAATCACACAATACTGTACAAAAAATAGTTTTAACTTTAAAATAAGTCGTTTATAATAACGAATGATTATTCAAAAATTATTTCATCCATTTAATATTTATACGATTATATAATATAAATAAATTTTACTAATCCAGTCTGTTGAAATATTCGGGGTTTTTTTTTTTTCATTTCTTTTTTTCTTTCAATCATTACGTTTAATAAACATACCGAGAGCAATGTTTGTCGCATAATATTCTTCATTGTTATAAAAAAAGGCTTCAACGGACGACTTGTTACAAAATTAACTTTACTTTTATAATGAAAGAAGGGTCTCGACGATAAATATTTCACCCTTATGAAATGATCGATCAAAGAATATTACACAATTGTTATACCATGATAAGAAACATCATATTATCAATGAATTTTATTGCAGAGAAAAATTAATGTTTAAGAATTCTCATAAGTTAAAGGGCAACAAAATTCTCTGTAATCTTGGACGGTATTATTAATATGCTTAAAAACTAATGATAATATTAATATAAACAAATAGTTGGCAAGGTGAATAAGGCATAAAAAAAATGTTTTAATAATATAATATTTCATAGAATTTAGTAAGAATTATTGAAGTTATCGTGAAAAACAATTTACTCGATAATGAATCTATGCACAGTAAGCAAAATGCTCAGTAGCTAACAATTTCTTAAAAATTTATTCAAATATCTGTTTGTTTGTTTGTTTATTATATAATAGTACAAGATTGGATATTGGTTTTCAAGTTTTGCTCATAAATTATTCAAAATAACAACACTTTTTTCTCTTCTTCTTCAAGGTAATGAAATCCTGTCATTTGTCGAATGAATTTTATCCACATACCAGACTAATTATCATGCTTCAACGTTTTTTAATATCTCTGCTTACTTGATTGCTTAATAAGAAAAAATTGCAATGCTAAATTTGTTTAATAAATTATTTATTAAGAGTTTCGTCTCAATTGCGGTTCATTATTAAAAAGCATTATTATTTACAGGTATTATATCAAGTATTTTATAATATATAATATTGACATTTGTAAAATACATCGTATCAATATTTTTTTTAAATATTCATACATTTAGAGACACACTTTTCACATTAAACGTATGCTGAAAGTAATAATTTATAATTAAAAAAAATCTTATCGTTTTAAAATAATTAGCAATACCATTTCGTATAATCTTAAATTATGAAAATGAATGTATGCTGACTGGGGTTGGGCAGCTAAAGGATGAAAAATACTATTTGCAGGTAAAATGTCAATAGTTTCTTTGGAACAAATTCATTAGTGGAGGCTAAAGTAAAATCGGTAATATCACTAATATTCGTGTCATACAATCGCCTTTGCTTTACGCGCATTCTTTTAGCGAAAGAAACCCATAACATCATTGTAGAATTAGCTGTAAAAGGCGAGTTTGTCCCTGTTCTTTTACGATTTACTGTACAGTCTCTTCCTCTCTCTCTCTTCCTCTCTCTCTCTCTCTCTCTCTCTCTCTCTCTCTCTCTCTCTCGCTTGCACTTACGCCAAGTACATTCTTGGACATTTTGCTTTCCTTAGTACTTACTCCCTTTTTTTTTCTTTTTTCTTTTTTTTTAATATATGCATATCGCATTTTCGACAGTGTTAAACAGGTGGATTTTCGTCGTTTTCACTATTTCTAAAGAAAAATTAGATACAGATTTTCCGTTTCACTTTTTTTATTTATCTATTTAACCATTTTTCACATAGAATTATTAAGTTTAACGAAGCTGTTCATTATGTTTCGTTAATTTGTAAATGTTTATTTGATAATCATATTAATAACACAAACAACACGCAGATATACTTCATTTTCATATTTTGTCGTAATACAATATTGTCAATGATTGAATTGTCAATGTTTTCGGTTTCACTTCTTTTTTTTTTTTTTTTTTTAATTATTGTTCTTTCTTTTACATAAAATTATTACGAAGCAGAACGAAGCTGCACTTTATATTTCAGAAATTTGAAAATGTTTATTTGATAATCATATTAGCTTGGCATGCCTACATCTTCTATATTATTGCGATACGCGCCGGAGGAACATTTTGTCGAGATATAGCAAACGATGACACAGCGTGTCGTTCAAACATTAGAATACCTATATTTTTTTCCAATTAAAAAAAAAAAAGAAGAAGAATTTCCATGCAATATATAGAGGTACGGGTATAGCATCATCAAATTGCAACTAAATGCAAATAAATCAAACTTATAAGTGATTTCGTATAGTACGCGCAAGTCTAGCAGCGGGTACGACACTTAAATGCAATATTAGGCTCTTCAAATACACGTGCTGTTTCTCCTTCTCTCTCCCAATCGCTAGCTCACCGCCCTGCCCCTCGCCAACCCGGCCACCCTTCGCACCGTCAACACCACGACGTTCAACCTCCTTCTCCGCCAATCTCGCTCGCTCCATTCCTCGATTCTCGCCAACATATATCTTCTACCACGTGGTAGGAAAAAGAGCGCGCGATGTAACGTCAGACGGATGGCAGAGGAGACCGGGACGGCGACCACCACGATGTTCCTCTTTATCGGTGCTAAGTTACTAAACGCGCGTGCGCCCCTCGCGCTCTTTCGCACCGTCTCTCTTGCGCTCACGGCGTCGCAGGCACTTCCGTCGCTCGGGCGCTCCGATGCGCCGCAACGATGAAAATCGCGGAGAGCGGAGCAACGCGGACGGGCAAAAATAGCGTGGGGCCGTAAAATCGGAGATCCAAAGTAAAGAGGCGCTCGATAATGGCAGTGTTTGGCGCACGAGGTAGCCAGCTGTGGCGGTTAAGCGAAAAGTAAGGGGAGCGAGACGAGAGCGCCAATTCCAAAATCGAATCGCCCTGTCAGCGACCGATGCTGTAGACAGGCAGTGAGTGAGTGGGTGGGCGGATGGGCCGGATGAAAGGCGAGAGAAGGAAAGAGGGAAGAAGGCGCGCAGGTATCAAAACGCTGGGTTCGTGTGAACGTCGTAGTCGTCGTCGTCGTCGTCGTCGTCGTCGTCGTCGTCGTCGTCGTCGTCGTCGTCGTCGTCGTCGTCGTCGTCGTCGTCGTCGTCGTCGTCGTCGTCGTGGTGGTAGTCGTAGTCGTAGTGGTAGTCGTAGTCGTAGTCGTAGTCGTAGTCGTAGTCGTAGTCGTCGTAGTCGTAGTCGTCGTAGTCGTAGTCGTCGTCGTCGTAGTCGTCGTCGTTGCATACAGCGTAAGATCGCTAACTCAGGGCGAGCCGGTGGCAGTGGGGAAACTTGACTCTTCCCTGAGGTTGGGATCACACCGCACCGGGACAGAACAGCGAGATCCTCTACAAAGGGAAATAGAGCCGGGCGAGATCTCGACATCGGGATCGCTTCGCGCACCTCGAGGGGGAGGTGGGAGAGGGCTATAGACCGACACAAAACGCGGCACCGTTTCAAACGAAACCTTAATCTCCGCTCTCGTCCTGCCGCTTTCGTCCTACGGTTCAATAATTTTTAATAGCTCCCCTCGGCAGATACGCTTATCTAATTCTCCCCCCACCCCTCCCCCCACCCACCCCCACACCCCGCTCTTATTTTCGCCTCATGCAATTTATAAATAGACGTCGGCGCGTACGTGACCACCAGACGACTAGGCGTGGGTTCCTTCCCAAACAAACGCCTTGGATGAGAGCCCATTCGGAAAGGAATTTTTTTCGTTTTCGTTCTCAAGTGCCGTCCTCCAGTGCAAAATGTACGGGGGCTAACGGTACGCCTGTACTTTCGAATAAAGGCCAGCGACATTAAAAAGGTTGCCCCGCGACGCGCTCCTCGTCTACTTCGTCCTTTGATATGATAATTATATGTATTTGCGCGTAAAAAAAAA